TACGAATGTGTAGCGTGACGCATCATGTTCTGTCTTGGTTTTCACACCCGGTCAAGGCAATTGCAGCGCCTGCACCAGTCGTTTTTGGGCACATAGGTTAGGGCCTAGTGGGCGAATGGCAATCGCCTCGGCCATGGCCAGTGTCCAAACTCAGTCCGCCTTCGATTGCTTGAGTGGAATACGATAAACCACATCAAAAGCTTTCTCCGGTTCGATCTTGTGCCCGGTGTCGAGATACCCCACGATCGCGCTTGAGATACAGCCAGTCTTCCCCTGACTTAACCATCGCCAGTGGTGCCCCTAAACGCGCTGAGACAAACACCTTACCGTACGACCTATGTAATATGCGCCACAGACGCACTTAAGAGTAACTTATCATGCATGAGGTCAGCTTCGGCAGTTTGTCTTTCACTTGCATTCTCATCACCGGTTATGTAGAGAACGCCGGTCTAAATTTGGCTACGGGGAAACTGGAATTCACAGTCGCTCTCAGTGATTGGACTAGGCTCTCTGTGTGTGGGATCTTCATGAATAGTTCTTTCTTCGGGACACAGGTAGAGTTTTCCTTCTCCGGAGTGAGCTGAATGTTCTTATCGATGAACTTTTCCGGGTAACCATTGTCCTGCAGCGTTTGGCGGATGAAGTGTAGTTCTTCACCCAGTGTGTCTGCTAAATAAATCTTCCGGGCTCTGAAGTCTAGACACCGGACTAGATTGTGTTTATATTTCACTGGGACCAAACTATGGAAGTTAGTATATTAGCCATTCCATGTTTTATTGTATGTCTTCTTGCTGATCCATCTTTTTTCCTGGACACGGCTACATCCAGAAAGGTCAATATGTTGTTCGTTTCAACCTCAACAGTGAATTCCAACGGGCCTGACTGGTAGTCAATACAGCAATGGTTAAACACACGCACACAGGACGCCTAATACCCAATGTAATCATTGGTAAATTATGCAATCAAACAGAAGCGGTGTCTGTGTGCATGTGTATTACATGTGTCGGCTTGCCAAACCCGTTTCATGAAGGCATCAAAACTAACGAATGAAACGCACGCGGCCATTGATTTTGCACACCGACCCTCGATTTTCACCGTGCTGGAATGCTTTCTATTCTTTGATTGTTCCATTCTCATACAAAAACTAGCGTGGCGACGTCGACACATCTGATGCCGAAATATCAGACGAAAGGTCCCTACTGAGGTAATAGTAATGGTCTTATCAGGACCATACGTGACAACTAAGTGACGTGAGTGAGTAAAGATATTGTAGAACACTTGTATCATTGCCGTTTCCGGATACTCGGTGTGCGTACAAATTGGTTTATCCTTTGACTACATTCATAGATGTGTAGTACTGAATTAGTTTAACAGAGGAGAGGAAGCCACCGATTTAAACAATCGTAATAAAGTGCACCGCGCCAAATGTACATTAATTCAAAACACGTTCATTTTATTGATTATTCCTCGATTTGGACACTTCTTTTAAGTGACCACTGTAGGAATGTTTGGCTGGAATTTCTACATAGCTCCAGCTTTGATCAACCATGATAGATGTTTAACGGGTGGCCGTGCTCCGTGCAGTTTCAAATGATTGCATGAAGGTAAATTACTCTTCGCAAAAACATAAAACTAAATATCTATTTATTTGGCCAAGAATACAAAAAACAAATGTCAAATTGGAATGATTCTGATATTTGAGAAGAATAAAGAAATCTCGGAATCTTTCTTCAAATGATTTTAGAAGAAATTTCACCTGATTAGCTAATTTCGTAAAGCTATGTACGGTATATATTTAGGGTGGAAAATGGAACTTTTGAGTTAACAACCGGGAATTCCATCTTCCCATTATTTTTTGTAATGATGCACCTAAGGTCACTCTAAATCTAAAAGTAATCAAGCAGTTTAACTTGCACTCACCGGCGTGCCTTGAGCCTTCTTGTTCGGGGTTCGAACTCAGCCAATGTCACCCTACTTTGGTGATAGACAAGTTGGAAGTCGTCTGGGTTGATGCCGCGCCTAGCCTTGTGTGACTTTATTTGGGTCGCCACCCCAAGTCCCAAGGCTAAAGTTACAGATTGCCATGAATGAGCAGTAAGTCCTTGTGATTACGTATTTTACCCTGTACGTTGTTTGCCACACAACAGTGTGCAATAAAAAAACTGAATTCCGAATTATTCGTAGATTGCAATTTCATTCCACCATACCACAATGTCCAAAATGAATGGTACATTCTTCGACCAGTTTGATTGCGAAAAGTAGCATGTAACTGCCGGATCGCGTTTCGAGATAGCTGGTCTAAATGCATGCAAACTTTTACAACCGCTGAAACTTGAAACGGCCCACAACAGCTGCATAAAATAAATCTTCCATTAGACCGAAAAGGGGTCAGAAGAAATAAGTAATTCACAGTAATCATCATCATCGTACAGCGAGATACAGTGAAGCGAACTTCACCGATCGCTGCCAAACTCAAAATGTACACAAATCAAGTGATAAGCACAAGATGGGGAGGGATTAGGCCTACTTGGAGGGAGGCAAAGAAAAAGAACCTCTAGGTTCAACACACAGAGCACACAATCTAAACTGTGAATACATAGCTTTTCAAGTATTCTGGACTAATAAGAAACGACAATAAGAATCCCATTGCTGTCGGTTAGTCGCCGTATCCCTCAGTGTCTCTAACCAGCCAGTTGCAGAGTCTTTTGGACCCCAACCTGGAAGACAAGAGACACCGATTCTATCTAATGGCTCTATGCATCTAATCATGCCTCGCTTCCACGCGGTTTCGTCCTACCTGGAGTCACAACTTCGAATAGGGCGCAGTGTGGCAGACAATGGTTGGGGACACGCAATACGTGTCCTAACCAGCGAAGTCGACTAATCTGAATTCGATGGGACAATGAATTCTCCATCGAATCATTACCAAATACGCGACACCTCACCTCAGAGTTTCTTACCAGCTCGCTCAATCCAACCCAAGCCAAACTACGTAAACATCGGCAGCCGAACACCTATAGACGACGAATATCTTCCACGCGCAAATTTAGGGTTCACAACCATAGAGCAAAACTGACCGCACACTGGCGCATTATACACGACCTTTCAGTTTCAACAAAACATTGCATCTGTATCAAAAGTATTTCAGTCCTGCGTAAGCTGCTCGAGCCTTGGAAATACGGGCGGTTACTTCATTGACTATGCTGCTGTCATTTGAAACGCAGCTACCTAAGTAGGTGAAACATTCCACCACAGCTAATTCTTGACCATCAAGCATCACTGCTGGGGTACGCCCAGTCTTATAGCATCACTTTGCACTTTTCAGATGCAAATCGCATGCCAAAAAGAGTTACAGAACTTGAAAGTCTGTCAAGAGCGATTTACGTATCCGTCATACATTCGAACAGGCATACGATGTCATCAGCGTACTCCAAATTGCACAGCTTTTCTCCAGATGCCCATTAAGTAACTATGTTTTGGAGACCACTGGAGACCACTCCAGTATTTCGTCTACGACGAAATTGAACAGGAATGGCGAAATAGGGTACCCTTGACGGACACTGCTCCTGGTTTCGAACGATTTACTGAGCTCACGTAAACCCCTACGCTACCAGAAGTATGCAGATACAACGATCGCAATAGGTTCACATATTTCTGTGGCATTCCTTTGCGAACAAGCGACCCCAGAAGAGCTTCACGGGCGACTGAATCGAAGGCTCCTTATAGGTCAAGGAACACCGCGATTGTTGGCCGACGATGTGTACGACGCAATTCGAGGACTTGACGCAAAGTGATTTGATCGATGCAACCACGACCTGGTCGGAAATCAGATTGTTGTTCGCGGATATTCCTCTCCCTTAAGGATGTCAGGCGACGAAGTATCACAGAAGTCAACAATTTTGTGATTATCGGAACTAAACTAATCCCACGGTGGTTAGCACAGTCGTTGCGTGATCCCTTCTTGAAGATTGGGTCGATCAACGATTCAGCCCAGGACAAAGGAATAAGCTCCTCCGACCAAATGCTGTGAGGTAAGCTAGTAATTGAGTCCACAAGATAATCACCGCCCACCTTGAAAACAGTAGGGAGAAGCCCATCAGCCTTCCCGTTCTTTAGTGATTGAATGCAGCTTCCTACTTCCGATTCTGATGTGGACTCGCAGGTAACCGCCCACGGATTTTCCGCCGCACCTGCTGGAGTGACCGCATTAGCACGTGGTCAATTGAACTGTTCACTAAAATACTGTCCAGCGATCAAGTCGTTGTTCTTTATTATGGATACTCTGTCCACTTTTATCACAAATTGCCTCACTGACCGGTATACGACGATCCATTATTGATCCATTAGGATTACTGACTCCTGAGAGATCCAATACCTTCGGTGAGTTTCGGGATCAGTCCCACAAGCAAAGTTTGCAACCGAGTGCATCGAAAATCTAATCTGATTCCACTGTTGATCTACTCCACTACGTCGCGGTTCTCCTAGCTCCTGTCTCAGCTTCTCCTCATAACGTGCGCAGACAGCTGGATCGCGCAGACGATGTTTAGCTAATTTAGGAGGCGATTTCTGCCGATGGCCAATGAGTCGAAGAGCGAAGCGTAACAGAACTAGTGCATGGTCCGACTCAACGCAAGTGGACCAATAGGATCTGCAATTTTGTACTGAACCACGCCAACGGTAGCTTACAGCTATGTGGTCAATGTGCTCGTTGAACTAGAACGCCATGTAACCGTTCGATGAGAGCTGTGTCAAAAGTTGGTGCTAGATAAGAACAGCCGGTGATCTGCGCAGAACTGAAGTAGCCGATCACCGTTGTCTGTTTGCTGGGCAGGGAGGGCGAAGTGTTCTCCTAGACAGGCTTCGGATGCGCTCAGTTTTCCAACCTGCGGGTTAAAATCACCTACCAGCACTATAATACCAGAGCTGGGACTCAACCGAATGAGTTCAGCGAGTTTATCGTAAAATTCGTCCTTTTGTGAAGCGGGACTGCAGTTGGTTGGTGCATACGCGGAAATGATAATCAAACACCTTTTGGTGTTGCTACCCTTCCGAACACTAACTGAACCCTGTAGTCTCATAGCGCACAAACGACTATTGACGGGTAACAAATCCATCGTAGAGTCTTCAGCTTTACCGATTAGTATGAACCCTAGACCACTCTGACCCAGTGAGCGGGCTTCGTCGTCTCCTGATGTGCGAAGGAAATACCTTTAGGACAGACCCGGCGCACTCCGGTGGCTTGTGATACTAGGATCTTGAATTTTTGTGACCGATACTCAACAGACATCGATTTCTAGGACTCCGTTGTACGCGCAAGACACTTTGACCCACCTTCATAAGAGTTCTTACGTTGAAAGCCCCCAGATTGAGAGGTTGACAAGGCTTCAGAGTCTGCACTTTATTTACAGGAAAACTAGTTACAGTGCTATTTGGCAACGAACTTTGGCCATTGACGACCAAGTTGTCTGAGGCAATGTTACGGGTTGGAAGAAAGGGTAGAGGGAGAGGGTTGGGTGCGGAAGACAAAGACTTAAACAAAGGTTGGGATATCTGAGCAGTAACCCACTACCCACTACCCACCCCTTTCGATGCAGTGGGCAGCGCGGTCCTGATTATTCTGCGCGACGACCGATGCAGTATGAAATTAATTAATCGAATGAAGTTGGTTTGTAACTTTACAAGGGTTCTTTTTCGAGTTCAGTTTCCACATCATTGTGCAGTTCCCATTATCGAGGTGTTCTACCCCTCGTTTTCAACACGATAACACTTTGGGGAGGGGGAGCTTGGAACTCCAGTGCGCATTATATTGCTATAAAATCGTGTAAATCTCTCAATTGTCGTTCGTAAAGTAAACCTTGTCAGTATTACTCGGTGTAATCAGGTCTTGCGTAAAGTTGGAATGCGAAAGACCTGCTTCCCGAGCTTAGTCAGGTATTCAAATGTGAGGCTGTTGAAATTGTTTGTATCACTCACCCGGTTCCCGTGGAATGTTATCCGCTACTTTATCAGTCTCTTCTTCCACGGGGGTTTCCGATACAGGTGGGATAGTTTCTTCATGTACTGTCAAATTGGTCCACTGAGCACAGCCTCGGCCGGTTTCCTCCAGGTGGACGCGTAACGTACGTTTGATGAGTACTATACTCTGCTGCCGTTCCGTATCAACCCCGTTTATTGCCTCTGGTGTCGTTATTGATTCTGTGTGAAATGGTGGATAATGCGCAATTAGCTCGAGACAATAGGATGCTGCAGGTAGAAGAAGTGCTAAAGATCTCACAAAGCACATCCACATTATCGATACGGCGAAGGTGATGTGCAGGTTACAACTTGGAATAACGAGAGTTTTGGTTGTTGGTTTAGTGAGGAATCTGTGTAGCGACAGACGTATAAATGGGCATAAATATGCATGTATGTATGTATGCGGTCTGGCATGGTCTATAGTGGTGTGTCAGGTGGTCTAGGTTCCACCCGCTTGATTTATCAGGCTGTCAGTCAGCTGACACGGGGTTGAGAGTTACATATGTGGGGTGGTTGCCAAGCGACTGGTACTGATGAACCTCACATCGTAAAATCTATGGTTAAAGTTCTTTCATCGCTACATAACTTTGGTGACAGACAGTTTGCTGTCGTCCGGTTCCACATCACATTCATCGAATTGGCTGTTTATTTTGTTCGCTACTCCAGGTCCAAGGTAATTGGTTGAGCCCCAGAATGAATTATGTACAGAATGGTTTTAAAGAATAACATAAACTAACGGCCATCATCCTAGTGGTTCGGGAGCACCATGCTCTCTTTCGATGCAAGTAGTCGCGGGTTCGAATCCCGGCTAGGCCCGACTACTTTTCCCAGATATTATCTGTGTCTAAAAAATAATAAAAGTATCCGAAGCTGGATACTCTAATTTATGGGTTTGATTTCCTATTTTGTTAATTGAACATACACATTTACAATTAACATTGGTAAAGAGAGCCGCGACCAAGCACAGGCAACCTGGGTTATACGGAAGTGAGATGACTGGCGCCTGTGGCGAATTCAGAACTCAAGACCGCAGGATCGCTATTTTGATGACCTAAACCACTCGGTCATCACCGTATCGCTGGTCGATGGTAATCTTACTATACAGTGATCAACGTTTGCCATAGCAATGATGCACCGTTACCCGACTTGCCTCCTTTTTTATTGAGAATGGAATATTCCATTGTTTATTGAATACAATCGTGGTTATATTGTATAATCAACCAAACGTATCTTTTTCTGTTCTTTTACTAAAACCTTTCCGTTCATTAGATCCCCACCGCACCCCGGAAAATGAGTTATTTTGTTCTACCCCACCTCTCCCGATTTTTTTCTCTCATCTCACATTCATTTTGAACTCCGTCATACTGAGCCTTGCATGAACGCAAAGCCACTTGAGGTGTGGATGCACGTGTAGATCAAGTTCATTCGCGTCTGATTAAAAGTATTTCATGCTTGAAGGCGTGATAGCTCTTAACATGGAGATTTATCTTTTGAACAGGTCGCGTGCATGTTCAACAGTGGTGGTGAAAATGTTGCCGAGGGTGTTCGAGTAACGATCAGAAGGGATTTTACTCCCGTGATTTACCGACATTTGAACTGGAACGGAATACACGGATGAGCCCTATTTCTATCCTCTCCAGTGGGATACTTTATCCTTGGTGAGTTAGAATTTGACACACTTGAGTTAATATGATAAATACGCATTCAACTGACGTAATGAACAATATCTATGTTTTATTTTAAATGCTGTGTACAAAAACCACTATTAGAAGAATACACTCGGGAGGATGCCGTTCGCATATTTCAAAGTTTCATCCACAAGCATCGATGAATCCCTATAATAATAATTTTAATTTTTTGATTAATTTAAATAAAATGTTAACATTCATAAACTTTTAATGGTTGTTCATATCGTAGCTCCAATTTACTCGTATAAGTGATTACGAGTAAAGGTGAAGGTTATCTAACGCAGCGCTAGGGTGAAATGTTGACGAATGTCGATGATTTTGAAAAAACGGTTAGGAATCCAAGGTTTCAAATGATCCGGGTCCGTGGTGAAATTGCATGTGAAAGCCCTAGGTTACCGAGGCTTTTTTGTGCGTTTCACGTGCTGTTTTCGTGCAATCGAGCAAAAAAGACCCGAAATTTTGTAAAATTATCGGATACCGGTTTTCACCCCAAGCAAGCACGTAATTCGTGCTTTCTACGTGGGTTTTTCGATGCTTGTTGCTGCCAGGGTACTGGTAAATTATAGATCAGCTCATGACATCTGAAAACAAATCTTGGAACGCCCTTTCTATATTGCTTTTCTTTCATAATGGTGGTGGTGGTGGTGGTGGCGGCGGCGGGTGTTATTACGTGCTGATCTCAAAGTTTGACGGTTTCTATTC